TTGAAAACATAGAAGCGTTTAAAGCGCGCACCAGCGCACATTTTTCAAGAAAAATCAAAGATCACACGCGTCTGTGTTTCACAATTTTCCAGTAGGACGTGCCGCCTTTATTAGACTGCCAAAAATCAAATACAAAAATGTGCTAAAATTTGGCAAAACTCATCAGACGGCTACAAATCGTTAGAAACATCCGATCTTGTGCTACTTTTCACTTCATGTGATAGAGAACAATCTCTTCTACAACTTCTTGGTTTGGTGTAAAATCGGTCTCTGGAAGTTGATGAAATTCGAACTCTAATTTTCCCAGTGCAAACTACACGAACTGACCATAACGATCCCAATTGACTTTTTCTAAAAAATACACATTTTTGTAGATACTAGTTAATTAATTAACAGTCAGCATGAATAACATGCAATTACTATAGATGGTAGAACTTGAAATTTTCCACATGATATCATTTTTAGTAATTTTACTTAAAATTCCACGTTAAAAATAAGTTGTTAATAAGTTTATCGAAGTCATTTTTGCTCTATTGACCATAATTACCCTATTTATCAATCGAAAAGTGTTTGCAGAAAATTCATTATCGTTCATTAACACTAATGAACTTCTGAAATTTGTTTAAACCACCATTTGATAGGAAACACTCACATCTACCTAACGATTAAATACCGTTTTTATTCTGGTCAAAATTGAGCTACCTATGCAAGAAATATGACAAACAAATATGCAAAGCCTATAATAGATAAATATCTGATTGGCGATGCTTCTATTTAAATAAAAATGGTTAAAACATATGACAAAATGTTGATGATCTGATTATTATTACCCCCACGTGATTCTGTATTACTTACACATAGTTTTTATTTTCTATTCAATTCTCTTGTGAATAAAGGCGTGAGATAATATTCTTTTATTTATTTCGTGTTTCAGCTTATGAATACCAACAGATAAATGTTAAATTAAACTTGAAAATGATGAGGAAAATTATTCTAAATATATTATATGTTATATATTCGTTTAGAATAGCTCTCAAGTGAAAGCAAATGTATGTGTCTAAGTTGAATAATAAACAACTGACAATGTTTGTTATCTAACTGTTAAATGGCAGAAGAGAGACAACAACATAAATAGATGAGAAAGTGTGCGTGTGTCAGATAGGCGTCAACATACGGTGTATACGTGATTGACTCTTATATAATAATTTTCTTTATTAAAAAGTAAACAACTTATTCAATCAGTTCAATCTAAATTGTATCTGTACTATACAAGTTCATTTTTTGCTTTTCAAAAAACGTCTCTCTCACAAGAAACCTTCAAGTGTGTTTTTGCTGTAGTACATTTTCTATGAATAATTTTTGATGGAAATCACAAATCTGATATCCATATCGATCCTCAAAACCGTCTCAAAAAGTTGAAATCACTAGAAAATTATTGGAACCTTTTGAAGTACCAATGTCTCTGACAGTATCAGATGGTAGAAGAAATGACGTTATACATGTGTACAAGTTATTAAAGGTAATGGCAAGCTTTCGCAGAAATTTTGTTTTTCCACTGTTGAAATTAGTGAAAGTCCTCTACTGTATATATCGATTTTTGAATAATTCATACGTTTATCAGAATGTGCTTACTAATCGTAATAATTTGTACATGGATGTACTGCATTAGAGATCTGCAATCTCCCACCATAAGTTCGGGTTCGACTCTTGGCGGTAAGAAATTATAATAAACAGACTAGTGATTGAATCTCCCGTACAAAAGTGATTTTGTGTTTTTCGATAGTTTTGCTTTAGAATACTATAATTGAATCTTTCCGCGTGTATTCTGACAGAATAAAACTTATATCAGACAAGTGATCTCTCTAAGTGGTCTACAGTGTGCATCCAGGCAGACATTTGATCAAAAATCGAAAGCTTATTTTTTTTAAATTTAAAGGGAGAAAAATACACTTCGATATGTGATCATTAGTCATGAAAAAAGTGGTGGTAAAAAACGGTTTACGAGCAAAAATTATGGGTGTCCGCCTGCTTTTAGAAACCGCGCAGTTTCTGCAAGTACGAAACAGTGTCGGTTGTTTTTGAATGAAAAAGATGAAAACGTCATATATTAAATAAAAAAGTGCGAGACTACTGCAATATCTACAGGAAAAGCTTTACCTAGAGAAGGTTCACGTTTATTTTTTGCCAAAACGATTTTTCTGGTCTGGTGGTTCTTTTAACGGGTCGAGTAACACTTATTTAATTGCAATAAATCTTAAAACTGTATCTTTGTGCCTATCAGACATTGATACTTTAAAAGGTTTCAATGAGACTCTAGAGATCTCCATTTTACGAGACGATTTAAGAACATTTAGGGTCGATGTGAACATTAGAGCTGTGTTCTCCATCAAAAATTATACATAAAAAATGTGCTATACCTTGTTAGTTTCGTTGACTACATTCGTCTTCACAATACGTACTAGTTAATTATGATTTGGAAAACAAAGATCAAAACTTTTTCTACGTCCGTTTAATTATTATACCGGAGTTTAAACTCAAATCTCATGAACTTACTAAATTAGAAAACTTATTTTCAATACTTTATTACTTTCACACGTTTTTCTCTTGATGTAGAATTGTAGCTCCAGTTATGTGCGTCCAATTTCAGACTTATCTCTAATCAGATCGCCTAACAATTTATGTTTTTATCTCTTAATTGAGACACATCACTAACTATTATTAAAAGGCCTGTAGAGAGACATGCATTATCATGTGTTGATCGAATGGAAATGTGAATGGAAATTCTTTCTGAGGTACAGCTATTCCATTTCTATCTGCTACTGATTATGTGAGATAATAATTCATTCTTTTAAAACGATTCTAAATCCTCTTCTTATTTAACAGTTATGAGACATTATAGTCAAATTGAAAGGAAAACTTTTTCTGCACTACTTAGAAAAAACAAAAGCGCAGAATGAGAGTTATTGAACACGAAATTTTTCTACATATAATCACACACACACACATCGAGCAGAGAATATTTTAAAGAGGATGATACATTAGAGGATCCTCTTACATTAGAAGACCTCACTGTTTGAATGAACTCACAGCTGATAGGCGAAAAGAAAAGACAGTGTACATGTGCGTTCCTTTAGCGTTGTGAGATGAGATGATAAGATGTGATGTGAGTAGATATGATATGATCAGAAGACCCCCCTAAAAGTTGTGTGCGTTAAGCCGTAATAGAAGACCCGGGTCCTCTAATGTGTCACTCTCTTCAATAAAAAAACCCAACAATTATTTAATATTGATCAATACAACAAAGATTTATCTCCGCTCTTCCATTTTTTTTGTAGTTTTGTAGTTTTGTAGTTTTTTATAGTAAGAGAAAACTTACATAATAACAATTGTTATTCTCTCCTTTATGGAATGTTACACATTTGTTTCGTCTGGTTTTGTCATTTGATTGTCTTCGATGTTTCTTTCAATTAATGATCTCATTTTCCGCTATGATTTAATAACATCTTAGAAATAGAAATTTTTTTACTCTGCTTTTTCCACCAAAAATGAAAAAACATCCCAAAAACACTTGTCCGATAATGGTCGAGAAAAAAAATTGTACCATTTGAGCTTGTTTTCTGGCGAAATTCTATGATTAATTGGCTAATAAGCGTCTGAGATTTATTATGATCGAGTTTATGTATTCATATTGTGACAATCAAATAAAGTTATCATATCTGACGGGGAACCAACATAGCAAATTTTCGATTGAATGACACAATCGGTTAACTTTTTTTACATCATTGCTTACTTTTTACAGCGACTGATCTTGTCAGGATAATTATAAATCGTCATTATACTTGTTGTTCGAATTACTTTTTGAATAACCTTCATTTTTATCTGTGATGAATTAAAACAAAAAAAACAAACTATGTTGATATAAAAATTAATTTGATTCTCTATGGATGTTAAGTTAAAATATAATCTAGAATGTAAAAAAAATAAGTACAATGTTCACAGAAGATGGATAGTTACTTAATTTCGTTTGAAATAGTTTTCTCGATTGTTACACATATTCAAATATTTGCCAGAGAAAGATTGAAATATAAGTTTTTTGTCTAAAATATCTTGCATCTTACCGGATATCACTGTGTGACAACGACAAATTGAACGACGTGTATCTATGATGAATATTCCACTTCAGATAGAAAATATAAAGTGAAGAAAGCAATTACAATTTATGTTTAGTATACATACGGTATAGAAAATGAGGTTCGATTTTTTTGATTAAATGGTGCCTTTTAACATACTAGTTATTAGTCATGTTTGATAGAGAATTACTATGTATTTTACATTTAGATGTTAGTATTTATTTCATGAATATTATTTAAATTACACTTTTACAACAAAAAACAAATTACTTGATAGATCCACTGTTTTGAGAGTCAATAATAACAGCAAAAATTATTTTTGAGAGATCGTGACTAGAGATACAACAGCAAGAAAAATAATATATATATATCGTTAAATATCAATAATTATTTATATACATTAAAAAATGGAAACGAAAAGTACACAAACATAAAACAAAAAGTTGAGAAAATGAAACATCTGGCTATTATAAATAAAATTTTAAAAATGAAACAGATGAATAAATGCGAAAACAGGAAGTATTTTATACCGAATGATATAGTACGAAATTTAAACAGTGGATTATATTTTTATTGGCCATATACATGAATAAAAATAAAATCCTGTTAATAACAAAGCAAAGCGTCTTTTGTACTCATTGAATTTTTACTATCTTGTGTCTAACTATTGGCCGATAAATATAAAATATTATGCTCATAGTTCAATTATCAAAAATAGTCACAAAAAGCCAAAATTAATGTAAAAATAAAAGAGATTATAACTTAATTCATTTTAGGTACAGATGTATGTAACTAAATATAAATTACAAAAAGAAAAAAAGTAAAATGTAACGGGTATAATTACAGATACTAATGAATTAGAAAGAATAATTAAACATCTTCGACAATATCATGTGTAAGAAATATTTTTGGTGACATAATTTTGATTTGACGAAAATCAATGATAAATGTTAAAACATACAAGAGTAAGAAAAATGTTAAAATCCATGCACATATTGTTGTTGTAACATAGTACGTCCAACCCTAGAGTATAAGAATTTAAATTCAATTAAATTAAAAAAAAAATACTAAGAAAGAATACTAACCGGATCTTTAGATGACCACATTTTCTTCTCATTATTATATTTAACAACAGTTATCATTTGAAATATGCCAACTAAACAAGTACAAAGGTTAAGAAGATAAAATAGTTATTTAGATGAACTAAATCGAAAGACTATCATCAATAAAAAGGATACATGAAAATAATGTCAATGTACCAAGACCACAAATAAATACTCTCAATAGTGGTATTAATTTTGTATAATAGAGCAATGGACGAATCCATAGTGACAGTGACACTTCACAATAGAGACAACATATGCTCGATATATACATTAAATATATACCAGCTAATCGTACAGTATACACATTAGCATGCTAAATATAAAATATAAAATCAATTGTATTAGAATAAACGTAGAAGAAACTACCTACGGGAAAATTAGAAATAACACTTAATCCAAATGCTGTAAATATGCCAAAAATGAGAAAAGCTTGATTTGAATACCAAAATTTATTTCCACATGTTGGATTATTCCGAATCAATTGTAATATTTGACGATAACGAATATAAATTGTTATTACCACTAAAATAGGACAAATATTAAAAGAAATATTGATCATACGTACCTAAAAGAAATTTATACTTACAGACAAATGATGCAAAATTGATTATTTGAGAGAAAATACAACTTTCTGGTGAATCAGTTGACGATTGACTTAAATAAAAGAATAAAATACGTTTTAACGATCCGAAATAGTTAAGTTTCTTTTCTTTTTTTTGCAATAAAAAGGTTAGAATACTAGAATCCAGTCGTAATAACAATGGAGTATAGAGCACTCATTTATTGTTAAATACATGAAAACAGACACTTCTTTGTTAGGCATCTCAAATATATAAGTAATAGATGATAATTATGAACTATGAATGTGTTTCTTTCTGATCAGACAAAGAGGTAAATGCGATGATATAATTAAACTTGTGTGACATTTCTTGTAACTCGACTTTTATCAAGAGAGCTAAAAGATAGTTTTCTCTAGAGATGTGCAGTTATTACCTGATAAATGGAAATTCAAATTTTGTGTGACCCAATTGAACAGCAGTTAAATATCTAAACGAGAATGAAAAAAATTATAATTAATTTAAATTGAGATTAGCTACTATATAGATGTCAATTTAAAATCTATGATTATTTTTAGATGATACTTACGATAGAAAATAGGCAAGTGGAACCAAAATACACACACTTAGTGGAAATATATATAAACATCGTTCAATCATTATAATATGTTATCTGCAACGAAAAATTATACTCGACGATAATATTTTCATGTTTTATTAGCTAAAAACATGTGTAAATTTATGATTAGCAAACGGACTTTATTCGATTCAGTTTTAAAAAAACTAAAGTCGATCCCACGTTTGGCATCGATATTACTTTAACCAAAATATAATAAAATAATAAAGGAAGATCTTTTTTCCTATTTACTTGTACCATCAATACTCTTTGCATCAGATGCTTTTCTAACCTATTCTCGTGTGTAAAATCTTGAAATTAGCAGCGACGTTTAGAGTAGCAGCGATTATTGAATCGTGATATTTAGTTGTATAAAGTGAAGATGTAAATGATATGGGAGAATGAGTAACTATTGATATTGGTAAAAATGAATTATTATTAAAATCCTAGGTCATGCAATCGAATAATAAAGTATTATTTTTTTTAAAAATAATTCTATTATTTTGATTCTAAAGTTGAATTATCTCGATAAATTCACGATTGCGTCTCGTACGATTGTATAAATAAAACCTGAAATACGTAAGAATTATTAGGGTTAAGAAATAATATCAGATCATGTAAGTAAAAGGCTTTGTAACTTTAGAGAACAACAGTCGCCTATTTCTAAATAGGTTGTAATTAGCTCATGGTTGTATATCTATCAACACGCAAGAAGTAAAATATATTTCTGAGTTATACAGTTACTGATCAGTTTTAATGTTCAAATAAAAATGTTTACCTGGTTATATCGTGATATTAAACTAACTTGTTCATCAGATTTTCAACCAATCATACTTAATACTGTTTGACTAGTATTATTAAAGATGTTGACAACAAATCAAGTGGTGTTTCAGCTATTCGTCTATAAAAAAAATTCTTAATCTACAACGAGAAACAAATTCTATGTTTAACAAACCAGTATTTAGATAAAATGCTTCGTTTAAGTAAATTCCAGTTATTACTAAAATCATCCAGTATTCCAGCAGTTCTAACAGTTAAACTTTAAAAAAAAGTTTTGTATCTATGTTTCATTTATTATCCATATAAACAGATGTACAGACTAATTAGTGCATTCCAAAGGAAAAAAAATAACACATAAAACAGCCGAAAGGATCGCAAACTGACCGATTCATCCATAGAATCTACAAATACGCAGAATCATTGATGCTCTTATAAGAAAACAAAATTATGTATAGATATTAAAATACTACTCATGTCAAAATTGTAACGATAAAAAGCAAAATAAAGTCATCTAACGAGTCGTTACGGCTGAAAAAAAAAAGCGATATTATTTCTCATGCAGGAGATAAAAAATAATGCACTTACACTTTAAGCTCGTTAAAGCAACTTGAATAATAAATAAAACTATGCAAAAAGAGAATCAGAAAGAGACTAGAAAAATATGTATATACAAACATAAACAACTGGACGGTTACGTTTCAAAAAGATGAAGAATTTCGTCAATATTCATACACTTAGATGTAGTACCAAGAGAAGAAAAAAAAAATGGACGAATTTCATTAATAAAAAACATAGGCAAAAATATTGTTACTTCATATTATCGAGAGTTAGTATAAAAACACAAAAACGTCATGGTAATACACTATCTCATGTGCGTGGTGTTGTTGTTGTAGTTCCAGATGATGTTGAATTTGTTGCAAAGATCACAGCAAGAATAATTCCAATAACAACTAATAATAATACGACTACAACGATTAAACATAGACATTTGCGTCTATTACATCTTCGACGACATATGCAGAGCTAAAAAATAATGAAAAATGTGTTGAAAAGACCAATAATATGTTACCATTTCTCTGATACTAGAGCTTAAGCTATATTTTATCGAGAATATTAGAATAATTTTCATTTACTATCGAAATTTATAAAAAAAAGCACGTATATTAATATTTTCATTACCAATTGCCGAAAATATTTAATATTTACTTACATGTTTGCATTGATTATGAGAGATGAAAAACTCAACGTAACGCGAAGAAAATACAACATTTTAATATTTGGTATTCTACGACATCAAAAGCAAATAGAACATTTGTTTACAACATTTATTTTACAAGTGATAATTCATTTGTCTCGGTATAATCTAATGTAACATCGCCATTATATTTATGCATGCTTTCCACTAAAATGAAAATAATAGATGATGAAAACAAAAAAGTTTTGTTTTTATAAGAAAAACAAATAAAATACCAAATTCTTTTGAGTAAGATGTTGCGTGGTAGCGAAGTTGATAGACATCAATTTGTTCAATATCTTCTCGAAGTGTCTGTAAATATTGAATTTGACTAGAAAGACATTAAAATGATTTTATTTTTAATCTTATTAATTATTAGTTTTAAAATTTACTTGAGCAATTCTATATAGCGATTTGTTTCATTTTCTTCAGCTTCAAGATTTTCGACCGATGCATCTTCGGCATTTATTGTTGAATCTTCAAATCCAAGATTAACAACATTCGTACGATCTAAACAAAGAAAAAAAATCTAGTATTATATATTAGTCGAAAATATAGATTTATAATAGTTAACATCATCAAAAGTCTATCTGTTCAATGTAACTCATTTGTCAATAACGTTGTTTTTCAATGAATAGTATACTTGAAAACATACATACCGCTTGCAAGTGAAAAATTAACAAGTAATATTGTAAATTTATGTAAAAGATCTTCGTAATAACTCAATGATGCCAATGTAAAACATATACATTTTTCAAGACGTTTTGTTGCCAAATCAGACTTAGAACTACATAAAAGAAAAGCAAAATAACAACAATAATATTAAACAAGTCTAATTCAAGAATAAATTTTCTTTGTATTTAATAAAAGGAGTTCTTACTTTGCCCCTTTTCCAGTTTTAAAAATTAATTCTCGCTGATGTGTAAAACTTTTTATTATTCGTTCTTTTAATTTTTGAATTTTATTTCGTAGTTTTCTCGTATCACAAGATGTACCAATATAGTAAAGATATTGTCGAAATTTACTCATATCTTTCATACAATCGTGAAGAGCCTAAAAATAAAACAAATTGGTAAAGATTGTTCTGATTTCTGTCTATCTGTTTTAAATTCTTACCTTGAATACATCATGATCTTCGACTGATACTTCCATTTGGCATCGATCGTTCATATAGCCTACTGTTCTCGAATTCATATGTATATGACTATTGATTCGTTAGTGGCTTTAATGTACTAGCAACAGAACGAATTAATCAAAATATTGTTTTAAAGCAACGATTATTAAATCATCGTAATTTCTAATCTAAACGAGTAAGAACAGCTGAAGTGATACGTACTATATCCAATGACTTTATAACAAAGTTTTAGTTATATTCATAAGAATTATTTCACATATAGGCTTGAGCTAAAGATGATAAAGAATTATGGATCTGTGTGTTGTCTCAGAAAAAATCTGAACTATGAAATCGGATGGATAATCAGATAAAAGGCACGTAAAACATGATAGTCGGACTAAGCTATCGGAGCTGCTATATTGATTAATTTCAATTAACTAGATCAACACAAAAATTTTACTGAAATAAGTATTTCTTCTTATTGTTTTTACGAGAGGTTTCTGCCATAGTGAATTTATGCACTGAGAAAGCAACGTCACAGTAGTAATTTTACAGTTAGAAACACATTGGAAATATTAAAGTACTCTATCTTCCTCTAAAGAACGTGCATTCAACTAAAACAAAATAACAGTTTCAAACGCAGTTGAACAGAAAATTAAGCGGCTATATTTCAAAAACACAAAAATTGTATAGTATCATATGAGGTTACAAATAAAAACTGTATGTTTTTCTTTTCACCTCAACATGTACGAAGTAATATAATATTATATTACTCCGTACATGTTGAGATCTCATCTCTTCTACGATTTTCTCTGTTGAATCTCATGATTTTTTCCATTAGTAGTTAATAGAGCCAATTAAACACGTAGGTAATTCATAAAGCACTACTATCCTCGTGTTATGTTCTCTAAACACAAGAAATTAGTTCTTTGCAATCAAAGGTTCAGATAGTTTACTGCTAGATGGTCGCAGACTATTGTTTGTTAAAAAAGCGATGTCTGTGTATAAATCTAAACTTTGGTCTGTAAATGGTGGACTTACGAGGAAATCCTTTTGAGTAATCACAAGTTTTTCTGATAAAACACCGGTGCTTTATTTCTTTTTCAGCTCAAATCGACAGACGATTATTGTCAAAGGGCAATAAATCTTTGTTTTAACATTTATATGCTAATAAAATGTCCTGAACATCTTTTCATCAGTGTTCTCCAGTTCATGCTTCATAGAATTAAAAAAATTTCATAAATCACAATGAACCCTTAAGTTATGAAACACCAAGAATCAAGTCAACCATTGACTAAGATTAAGTTGAGACTTAAATGCTTATTTATTTGAGGACTAGTTTAGAAAAATATTAATAAAACAATTCCCTGCTCGTAAAGTAACGGATCATACAACTTCATACGTCAAAAATTAATCATGAAGCACACAACTTTCGTATGACAATGTCATCGACTCTCATGCGCTTGAATAAATACCGTATAATATAAATACTTATCTACGCAAAAGATATCTTACTAGCTTGTACTAGGATGTCTAAAAGTTTTTATTTATCAAGTATTTGCTATATAAGTACTTATTTGCTGTATGATGGTTGAAATGTTGCAGTAACTGAAGACGTTTTTTAACATTTAGGACGATTAAACAATAGAGGTAGAATATATAATTATTCTTGATAAACTGTTACCTCAATCATAAGCAAAATTTATGGAACGAATTTAGCAGGTTCATTGCAGTTTTTAAGAGTTTTCCGATATAATTCTGTAATTCTTTTTCTTCTCATTTCAACAGTCATGCGTATTATTCACATTAGAGATGCAGAAAGTTATTAGACATGAAAATGTCTAAATAATTTTTTCCCATTTAACACAATAGAATTTAATCATAAAGAATGATTTTCTTTCAAATATTAAGAGTAGAAAAAAAAATTGATCTTCAATATATTGATATGCAAATATGCATGTTCGCATAAAATTCAAACATTTTAATTTTGAAATATCTCAGAAACATGTTAACAAGTTATACGTACAAAGAAATTGTCAAAGGAGATAGAGACGAGATAGTGCGAACAAATAAGACTTACCTATACATGAACAGTAGTGTTTGATCTTAGTATTTAAACCAAGAAAAACAAGACATGAAATAGAAGTGTTAGTTTATCAGCTCAATCGAATTTCATCGAAACTCTTAACTTGCTTCTTATCCGGTTAATGGCTTTTTTGTTTAATTAACTCCGTTACTGAGAACAGAAGTCATAACAAACCAGTTAATTCGGACGTTTTGTACGACAATTTATAATGAAGCATTACTAATGTATATTTTTATTTTCATTCAATACTAGAGAGAATATCAGACCATTTTCCCCCTTTATGATACTTGCCCAATAAAGTGTAAATTTTCGGACGGATCCGTACAGAAAGGGTAATTGATGAGGTTGAGTCAAATGGCTTTGGCTCCATCCACAAATCAGTCAGCAGAATGTAGGTAGCTTATTATAAGAATGCATAAAATATCAAAAGCATACGATTTTGCTGATATACCAGTAGTATGTAAGTTTAGCTGACTTTGTTCTATTATCCTTTAGTTAATCAATCTGTCAGTTAATAGTTTGTGAAATTTCACGGTCACTTATCTAGACTGAAAAAGGATGTACTATATTTACTATTTATGATTACACTGGGATCTTCACAACTGTGCTACAACTTCTGTAAGAGCTGTGTTACAAACGAAGAAACTATTATAGAATTATTAATCTTACACATCCAACCTTTATGAACAGCGAGCTTGCTTCGTGCTTGTAAACGAAAAATGCTGGGTAACAGACTGATGCAATCGTCGATCGAATCAGGGAACTCGTATTGTTTTTTTCCTCATTATGAATATCTGCCGTCTATTAGAACCACTTGGCGTTTTTGAGTAGAGCAGGTTGGAGTTTAGGGCAAATTGGTTCAGTCCACTTGCAACTGTCGTTAGAAACGCTAATGGGCACATTAAGCAATACTGATGAACTGAAAAAACTTAAGTATAATTTTCTGTTTACTTAAATGAAACTTTCCACTTAAGTAAAACTTAAGTTGTTTTGAGAAACAGACCTAGGAGCCTGAGTGAATCATAGATGAGCATTACCTAGCCGCATGATATAATATGAAAAAAATAAAGATTCTTTTCGGATATATAGGCAGCAGAGATTCTAGTTAAATGTCCGGTTATTACCAAGACGCCATCAAATGTTCTGGTGTTTTCAAGAATAGTAATAGATGTCGCTATGCATATCAGAACTAAAAGCTACAACAAGACCTTATTTATTGCTTTGAAGAAAAGAAAATTTAAAGTTTAAAGAGCTTCAGACTAAATCTCCATTACTTCGAAAAATTAGAGCTCATAGGATTCCATTCAAACTCGTACGATCCAATGAAACTTTGAACTGTGTCATCTGTATGAGTGATTGTTTGAGAAAGAAAGACGTATAGTGCATTATTTCAAGTCAGTATAAAAAAGTCTGTCTCGTCTAAACATGCACTAGTGTACGTGCTGAATGTTTTAACGTTCGTTTATATCAAGGCCTAGAGAACAGGTAAGTGGCCACTGTATCCAAGCGATCCTTTTCTCAGAACTTTAAAAACATATGGTAGAGTTGTCAAATTGAAACAAAGGGAAAAATGCATGGGATAATGCCACTTTCAAATCATGTGAGACGTGAAGTTCTAAGTTTTTTTTTAGCGAACAGCGTAGACAGGATCGTATAATTCTGAAAATTAGTCAATGTTCTCCAACATCGAGCAGAAATTGATACTTTGTGTCAAAGTGTTAGCTAAAACTTTTACGTACAGTTTTTTTCAAAACTTACCGTCATCTTAGTCTTTCCATTTTTTATCTTCATCGTCCTCACTAGACGTTTTTACACCTTCATCACTCTAAACATGTTCGCATTCCACCTTTTGTTAACGGTCTTTCTTCACAAACAGTTTTCTCCTCCTTTTTTATAGAACTGTCACTGACTGGAATAAATCAGAATCAGTGATTTGTTTTTCTTTATCATCATTTAAAAGAGCTATATCTCAACGTCTCGTACAGTTAAGTACAGCCATGTTTTTAGTCAACCCGCGCCGGTGCTAGTTTTTCTTTTATTCTACTTTCCTTCACTTTATTTTCATTTGTTTACTTGATCTGTCTCTGCCTATTACTCTAGTTTTCTTTTCTCAAACTGTCGTTACTGTTTTATTGTCTTGAGTCATTGTTATTACGGGTCGGGATCTTTGACGACTCTCCTTTTCGTGAATAATACATAATACATACATACAAGTATCTTGCTACTCAACACCTCAATGGTATTACATTCGAAACGCTCGTTGACGGAATAAGTGCAGAACAATAATTTGTCCTCGTGAGTAGAGGCCTACAGATCACGCACAACCTGTCCTGACCTGGCAGGTTAGGACAGGTTTAGGTTACGAAAATTTTTACAGGACAGGTTACACTACCCGTATCCTGTTTTCAACCTGTAAAAATAATATTAAGCGCCATCTGTAAAGGAGAAGAAATAAGAACTCGAAAAATAGTTTAGTGCAAAGAAATATTAAGTGCATCAGGAAGAGTATTCGAAACATGAAGACAGTCGTTAAATCCAGGCGTTGTTGACGATATATTATTAATCAGAAATTTCAGAGATGTATGATCTTTTGTTGTTGTTTTTTGCTGCATAAATAAAGTAAATGAAAGAATTTACTTTATTAGGAAAATTTTTCCAACTTGGATACTCATTTTTTGCAGTAATTTTTTCGCAGGACAGGACAAAACAGGTTACAGGTGACGATGCGTAAGGTAATAAAAGGTTGTAGATTGTTAAAATTTTTACAGGACAGGTTATAGGTTATGAAAAAGTTGTAACCTGCAGAGCTCTACTCGTGAGATCCTCGTTCTCAGCTTGAGAATAGCTGAAATGCAATTTACACACTACCATACGTGTAAAGAGGAAGCAGCTTTGTATTACTAAATAATAGTCAATGTTTGTGGGAGAATGATGGCTTGACCTATTATCTTATATCTTTATTTATAATTTCTCTTACTCACAGATTTTCTAGATGATGAAAAACTACAATTTAGTTCGACCATGTGCTGTGTTTGTCGAACGTTTATCAGATGACTTTGTTCCCTCAAAACGTTATAAAGTCGATGCTGATCTGATATATGAACAACAACAGCCGCCACACCAACAACACCGTCATCATCAAAATGTCGATGATCAGTCGAATGAATTATCCGTCGATGTTCTTGTCTTGCCAAATAATAAGATTAAAATTTCGTCTTCTATGTTTGGTGGTTCAGATGACGATCTATCCTCGGCAATCAACAGCCATGATCAACAACAATATTTATCTTCTGGTGTTACTAATACCGATATCAAACCCGTTGTACGTATTCGGTCACATCATATGTCACAGGATTCAAATGACAATGGTTATAATAATTATGAAAATGGAGGAAATCGTTCGAATCATCGTTTCAATTCATCATCCCGTCGAAATTTCATTGATACAAAAGATGATGATTATTTAGATTTAAATTTGAGTTCAAAATATGACCAAGATAATTCCAGCGATTTAGGTAAGAAGCAAAAACCTGAGTTTGAGAGCTCTCAGTTTAAAACATAGCAGCATTAAATGATTGCATTACGCATCGAATTTATGTCAACTTCAAAGTAGTTTCTATAAAATTTTAAGAATAATTCTGTTTATGTATGTTGACCTGTTTGTATTTCATCGTTTAGGTATGGATTTAAACGATGATGAATTAGATTCGATAAACAAAGTGCTCGATTTTGACGATGATGATATATCGGATCATTTAAATACAAATATAACAACAACATCAGGTACCGCATCTACGGGTCGTAATCATCATCATAATTTATTTAATTCATCACAATTACCAGATTTAGTTATGGGCTCGTTAAAAGCAGATGGCAATGATTCGTCAAATGTTAAATTTGAACCATCATTTCAATATAGTGATTTATTTAACCGTAAAGGACGCACATTTGTTTGTGATGAACGTGGGAATCGTGTAGTATCAATTAAATTAGATAAAAATGGTGCAAAACGATTAATTGAACAAATTGAGAATGGTTATGGACGATTAATGTTGGAAGAGTGCCGACGAGGCGATTTACAAGCACATATACTCAAAGTAAAGAAATTAATTATTTTTTCATACCAAATAAAATATAGTTATTCATCTTTTGTTGCTGATAAAGGAAGAGACTTAACTGTTGTTTATTTAGATTGTTTTCAAAGAAGAACAAGAATTTTTTGACTTTAATCGTTCGGGCATTGTATCAAAACATTCATTTAAACAATGTCCAGAAATGTATCCAAGATTTTTAGAATGTTTATTTGAAGCACGTATGCTGCCGGCTGATCCATTAAGTCCAGAGGTTTGTTGTCCTTTTTTTTAATTTAAAACATTATAATATCGCTTTCTTGTTTTCTAGTCTGATCAAATGACGTATTCGTATTGTTGTAAAGTGCACGAATGTGGTGAAGCATTTACATCAAAAACTGAAGCAATTAAACATGCAAAAAAGCATGCGGGTGCGTATTAGATGCTATATTAATTGTCTGCAATTATAATGTTCAAAAAAATTCATTGTTTATTTTTCCTGTAGAACTCGATCCATTTGATTTTGTTTGTGACCATTGTGGTAAGAAATTTCTTGGTATTGCAAATATGAAACGACATTTACGTGTTCATATGGGAAGTGAGGGGAAAGATTTTCAATGTCCACTGTGTCATTATCGCGGGTGCACAACAACACATGTGAAACGTCATATGGCACATAAACATTTAGAAAAGTAAGCATTGAAGAATATATTGATCTTTGAGTTATAATTATTTCCTTTTGTGTTCTAGATCAATTCCTTGCCCCTATTGTTCATTTATGGCTGCAACAAATGCTGATCTTAAGATTCATATGGCACGCCGACATTGGGATATTGAAGGTTTGGACATACTGAATAACTTACCAAAAACATACAAGAAAGAATGGAAATGTACAAAATGTGATACAATATTTCATGATTATTCGGTAAGTTTTTGAGCACAAGAATCATAAAAAGTAGTTTTCTGTAGTCATTTTTTTTCCAGACCAGAATGACGCTATTTCTCTCTTTATACTGGATCTAAATAGAGTTACCTGAAATAAAGAGTATTTCAAGCTGAAAGAGCCTCTATTTGTTTCTTGTCTTTAGGATTTTCAAAATCATATTTATAGTCACTCAAGTCAAACAAATAAATTTCAATGTAATTTGTGTCCTTATAATTGTAAAAGTTTTTCAAAACTGAAGGTAAATTTAAATACGTTAAATACAAACAAAACGTAAACGATTGTTCTATATTTTTTAGCGTCATATGCTCTACCATCAAGGTCAACGAAATTACGAATGTCCAAAATGTAATAACAAATTTTATCAAATGGAACATTTGAAACGTCATTTAACATCAATACATAAATTAAATATACCACAAATTGGAAGAGGAAATCGTTTAATCGGTCAAGATTTAATGAAAAGAGTATGTATTTTTTTAATCTGTTATTGCTATTGTTGTTTAAATGTTCATCATGTTTTTTAGACATCTGATATGCCTCATATTCCACCACCGCATGGCACTGTGCCGCAATGTTATAAAGTCATTTCAAAATGTGTCTTTACATGTCAGAAATGTCCATTTTCCACTACAAAATTATATCATTTGAATGAACATGTTAAAAGTGAACATTTACAACTTGATGAATCGTCTCACGTTTGTACATTTTGTTCGTATATAACAGATAAAAGAACCAATCTTAAAGTAAGTTTTGCTAGTATTCTCAAAATACTAAATCTAGATGTTTATTCATCTTTTAGCGTCATTTACATCATAATCATGCTGGACAATCGAATACACCGGTTTTATTATCGAATGATGCACTTTTATCGAATCCAAATACAAAGTAAGATAAATGATTGATTACTTAACGTATGTATATAATATGTTAATCACTTTTATTATCTTTAGATTTCAATGTGGTTTGTGTCGTCGTTATCAAAGCAATGTCGATGAATTTATTAAACATATCACAGAAAAACATCGAATGGATGTAAGTAAAGTACAGTCTTTTCTTAATATATAAATTTTTTTATGTATGATTTTTGTTAAGGTCGTCATTTTGGATTCAGCCAATAATGGAAACATACATCAGCAGATTAAATCTCGTGGACGAGCTGAAGTATGTGTGTTTAATTCCCTTCGCAATTCGTTTGGCAAAAGGAAATGCATCCTTTTTTTACTTTACACAGAGTGTTGTTTTTGTCTGAAATAACGATAAACTAACTACAGGTTATTGATTTGATAGTCTGGTGATGTTAAAAATGCCTTTTGTGAATTAATTCCAGC